TCCTGAAATAATTTCTGCCTGAAACACTAGCCTGTTTTGCCATTAGCAGTGAAGGTCTATTGTAATCCTTATAGGCAGGTTCATTAATTTCTTAATCTGGAAAAGCTTCACTCTATTTTAAAATTATTCCCTTTTTCCTCACCTCATTTGCATGTTTCCTTTGCTATGTTCCCAGTGGATCTGACACTTCTACGTTAACAGAAGACAGTGACCTGTGATAAAAATACACTTTTATGGAGTGCTTGGGCAGGAAGCTTTACAGGACCTGAGCAAGAAGTAAAAATACTACAAACTATATCAAAATTCAGCTCCGATGGACTCATTGCCATGAAAACAGAAACAAGTAAGCAGACACCTTGGCAAGGACTCAATCGTTTTCTGTACAGGATTCATGGAAGCAGCCAAGGGCTGAAAGCTGTTGCAAAGCTATTTGGAATAGGGAAAATAGTAACTGAAGGGAGATGACACACTTGGACATTCTGCATTTTGTAAGTTAAAAGAAAGAGACAGGATCAGAGCTGAAAAATCACCTGTGAGAGTTTAGACAACAGCACCAGGTCTATTGGGCAGCAGACTCCCAGTAACAGACCAGAGAACAGCAGGCTGTCTTCACATCATCCACAAAGCCCCTGCTGAAGTGCAGGCCAGGGATTCTGCACCCATGGCAGTGATGGGGGGAAGATGAGAGATGAGGGGAGAAGGTGCTGGGCAGCAGAGCTGGGCTCGAGGGGTGGTCTTGCACTGCAAGCATTGATCTTCCCGCTCACAGTCTGAAACTGAATGCATGGCACCAGTGTGCTTCCAGCTCTAAAGAGCACACTTATGAACAGAAAAGGGTCTTCTCCACCAGGTCTGCCTGGTCATAGTACACTGAGCTACCCAAGACAGAGGGTAAGGAAGCCATCCAGGACTAAACTGGAGAAATTTACTCTCATGAGCATTCACAAGCTCCGGAGGATAGATAGTGTTTTGCAGCCATACTACTGACCAGAGTGCCAAGACCATACACTTCCCCTTGACTGGTAACACTGATGAAGCTCCAGAGCATCTGCCTCCTCGCAGAGCCTCTTCCTTTGGGGCAGGAAAGGCCTGCCCAGCCCTTGGGAGTTGGAGATGCTGGAAGAGGCAGTGAAGGCAGCTGCCTTCTGTGGTAGCAATAGCAGCACAATGTTGGACCTTGAGGGTTTTTACTCCTGCAGGGAACGGAAAGACTAAGTAAAACTATGTACTGGGGCTGCCTGTTTCTCCTCTTGGAAATTGAGCCTCAGTCCCACAGAGCAACAGGAAAACTAACATTCATTTCCACAGAGATTTTATCACCTCAGTCTTGGCATGGGAGAGGCATCTCCGCCCAGCTGTGAGCAAGCGAGCGCATTTTGCTGGTTTTTTTTATGTAATCAGAACAAATTCCTCGGAGATGAGTCACGGGGTTTCAAGGGTGTCCAGAGAGATGTCAAGCAGGTCTCAAGTGTAAATCAGCGACACACCTTGCCGAGAGGATGCATGCTTGCTGGCAGGCCCATTTTCCCTGCGGACAGCAGGCAAGGGAAGGGGCTCGATGGATATTCCCAGGGAGGCTACCACAAGCCACACACACACATGTGGCACCTCCAGACCCTGGATGCTGCTGGTGTTTACATTTCCTCTGTGAAGACAATGATGGTTTCAGGGTGGAGCTGGAGTGCTTCCCCGCAGCTGCTCTCCAGGCTTAAATACTGAAGATTTTCAGTCATTCAGGCTGGAGGAGTCAGTGTCCCTGCAGTCAGGGAGATGATTTGAACTTCAGAAACAGAGGTTCTGCCCCACCAAAGCCTGGTCAAACTGCAGGGGCTCCTGCCTGTGCTGTTCGTTATGGTGGAACAGCTGCATCCCATGGCAGTTGTTTCAGTGCTGTGATGTTGCTCCGTTAAGCAAACCTGTTCCACCCCCTTGCCCAGGAATGAGTACTCCAGCCTCCATGGGACTGCAGGCCAGACAGAGGACAAGGATGGTACTTGTATAATTTCAAGGCACACCCTGCTTTAGTGGCTCTTTTAAAGGCGGAAATGTAGAGGAGGACCAGGCAGAACTAGACCTGGACACAAACCCAGAGGTCCAAAGTAATACTGAGGAAAATGTGGTGAATGCTCTTGGGCCTTTGGGTGTGGGAGCAGATGGACAGACAAAGATCTTGGTGGAGCTTGGCTCTGGGACAATCTTCTTTCACTAATGCCAAGGGCAAGGTTTGGCACAAGGAACCAACGCCAGCCAGCCTCCCAATTTGCGAATCACATATAGGTCTCTCTTCAAGCAGGGCGTGCAGGGCGCTGCCAGACTAAAGTGGGGCAAATATCTATTTGTGCATTCTTTGAGGGCAACTGCAGAAGACACAACCCAACTATTATGCCCTTCACCTTTCAACTTCACCATCAGGTGACTAACAATTACCAGCTACCATTAATATTAAATGGGAGAGAAAGAAATGCAATCCTCTCTCTGCTCTTCACATTCCACAATATCTCAAACAATTTGTCATATTGGGAGGGGCGGAGGCAGGAGGAGCATTAATTATTGATACCTGGGAACAGATGGCTTTTCTTGTACCAGGGCAGAGAAATGTAAGAGGAGGCTGTGGGTGAGGATGTGAGGATTAGATGGGCAGACACATATCAGATAACCAGCCTTCAAGTGGAACAGGAACCTTCCTCCTAGAACCAGCTCTGCTTGCCTGCAGAGCTCTCACCTACAGCCCTGGCTGCAGAAACAAATCCACTGACATCTGAATTAGTGAGACTTCACCAGAACCTTTCAACACTCCCTCACCTCCATACAGAACACGATGACTGACAGCTTCCAGACAGCAGAGGCCTGACAAACCAGGCACAAACTGGTCTCTCTAGGAGACCTTACTGGTTGCATTTCACATGTTCATCCTCGTCTACTGCCCTGGGTCATGCAAGGTTTATTCCTGAGACCACATACAGTGTCCAAGAGTGACTTGACTTCCTCCTGTCTTCCACCGGCTTCTGCATCCCACTCAGGGTGCTGGCCTCCAGAATCAAAGATCCAAGTGATCTGGACCAGCGACATCAACCAGAGACTCTGTCATACAACTCTTTTTGCCAGCTTTTCCCATTGATCCATGTAAAGATCAAGAGGAAGACAACTTCATTCTTGTCAACCCCTGTGTAGGTGTCCCTGAGGTCGGAGACACCTACCAGGTTGCAAAGCAGGCTTGGCACAGGACACCTGCTATGAGTGTCCCCCATGTCCAAGACCAGACTGTGGGACTGACATCTTCATGAGACAGGAGAAATAACTGGGCAAGAAGGACTCTCCACCAAAGCTAGCCAATTCACCAAAGTGGACACAGTTGGCACCCCAGAGACAAAACCTTTTCCTGAAACTTTCAAGAACAGTCTCCGTACCACTGCTGGAGCGAGGCATCTGCATCCGTTTTCACTCTGGTGTAGTCATGTCTCTGCTGGAAGGCTAAGGAACCAGCTGCACTGACTCAGACCTGGGCCTGGGTAACCCAGGGTCCTGTCTCAGGCAGTGGTTACAAGCAGATGCCCAGGGAGGAGTCAACGGTTGGCAAGCCAACGGTGATACCTCCTCTACTACTGCAAGAATGATACTCCTCAGCTATTTTCTGTTTGGGGATTTCACAAGCCAGACACCACCTCTATACATAGTGACTCAATTCAGTTTTCCTCTCTGGACATACCCCTTAAATCCTGTAAATGGGCACTCACTTTCCCAGCCAGGACTGATTAAATCCATGGTTATTCCACTGAGCAAAGCAGACCTTCTTGCTACCTCCACAGGCCCAGAAGGTACCTCAGGACTACAATGTCCAATTCCCTGATATATTGGGGACCTCCTCACAGTCTTTTCCCAAACTCAGTTTGTTCTCTCTGAGAGGTTGTTCCAAAGCCTCATTACTCTGATAATTAGACACGGTCTTCTCATTTCTCAAGCTGACTAATCAGTGATTTCTAATTCCTCTCAGCCTGCCTAGGGTCATGCAGCCTACAGCCTGTGAGAGTCCCAAGACACGTACAATCTTGTGATTTGGAAAAACACAACTTCCCAGCTTCCCTTCTGGCCTGGATCAATAGCAAAGTGCTTGAGGTGCACAAATACCAAGTGCCAGAAGTCTGCTACCGTCCTTGAACAATACAACTTTTCACAAGTAGTGTAAAGATGTAGGATGGAGAAAGTTTCCCTACCTAGGAGCCAGTGAAGAGGGGGAAGCAACCTTAGAAAGACCTGGGCCACATCTGTGCTGGGAAAGATTGAGCTCTACCAAAAAAGCAGCAAACCTTCCTACTACAGAAGCTTTGACCAGTGTCCAAGTTTCCTCTAGTTTGGTATAGGAAATGGACAGACCGGTAAGAGCGTCTTTATACTGCTGTATTATATCAACACGAGAGTTTCTGTTCCTGTAAAAATGCTGTTCATTGCACTGTGATAGTACCAGAAAATATTTCTAATGCAGATCTGGCTTTAAAGAGCAGTCTCCACAGAGCCGTGATGTGTTTACACTAGCTAACTGCTGCTGAACAGTCAGCTGAGAGCTAACATGTACGGGCTAATCTCACCTCCCCCACATTTCACAGGAGCTGAGGAGGGGATCATCGAGCAAAAGAAGCCTATGGATTAGAGAGCAATACAATGGATCAAAAAGCAGGAGGAGGCCACATCTTTTCAACCCCAGAGCAGAATTGCTCCCTTTCACCCTACTCGAGTTAACATTTCTGTGACTCCTTTCCCTGCTGCTCAAAGAAGGAATCACATTACATACACATTCCAGAGAACCTTTCCCAGCAGAAATAACCATTTTTAACACACATTGTGCTTGGGAGAATATCTAGAATTTTACAGGCAAATGCATGGGTGGAGCTGTGTTTTGACCCATACAGGAAAGCTGTAAGTTGTCATCACCATCCCAGTCAGGCTCTGGAGTCGGGGCGGTCGGAGGGCTTGGGAGGAAGATGTGCTCGGCAGGAGCTCCCTACCTCTTTGATGGCAGACATCTTGATGTTCTCATAGTAGTGCAGCGGTGCATTGGGTGAACTCATGTCATAGCCAAACCCAGCTACCGCCACCTCATCACAGTTGTGGAGCGCCATGGTTATTGCTACGCTTCCCAAGGTGGGGATGTTCTGAGAGGAGAGAAAGCAGGAAGCAAGTTGCCATTTCTATAATCAAAGATTTCCTCTTATTGCCTCTGCTCACAGGGACACTGCTGCTACTAGGCAGAAAAATCACGAACGGGGTATTTGGTGGTATCTGCACATCAGCTGCCTAATGCCATCTTGTGGGGTCAATAGCCTCCCAACTTGCAAAGAAAATCATATGTTAGCCAGCTTCCCGCAAAGCATCCAGCACAAAAGCAGTGGCTCTTATTTGAGGCTCTATGATCTGACTCTCCAGGGGAGTATGGCAGGGCAGAGGAACTAATGCAAATGGTCAGACTCCCCTTGCACAACTTTGCTATCCTGAGAACAGGGCAGCAGATGAGCTGGAGGGCGAATCACAGTGGGTACGTTAGTTTTCTGAAATTAAAACAAGACGTAGATACTGGATTACAATTCTATGCACATTACTGGCTTCCAGCTAGGCTAAGGAGGAATACTTATCCCAAATGGGTCACCATGCAGGAGCAGAAGTGAGGAACAGTACAAACACTTTATTTTACTGATGGCAAAAGCAGTTTAAGGAGGCTTTAAGGAAGTTTAAACAGCTCTGGGAGAGGGAGAAGAGATCAGGCAGACCCAGTCAGCAGTGTGCACTGAGACCCCTTCCTTTGCTGAGAGGCATACCCACAGGCAAAGGGCACTCTGGCCTCTGCCATACCCTTCCTAGCCACAGCATGGTGGAAAGACGAGGAGCAGTGGGAAGCCGGTCAGAGATGGGTGTTAGCAATCTGAGCAGGGACACCCCGACTGTCATCTCCCATCTGCTGCCCTGCCATGTGCACCCAAGTCCAGCCTCAGCCCTTCCCATTTCATCTGGCTTCTGCCAAGGCCCTGTGACAGTGGTGCTGTACGGCTGCAACTCCTCTTGTGCGTTCAGATGAACGCGACCACTGTGATAAGACGAGTGTTTCTAGTGTAAAATCCTAGCTCACAGACTTTTCTAGCTCCCCTTTAGCCAGATGAATCCAGAGGTAGCTTTACCCCAGGGGCTAGGGAGAGGCTGAGAAATCCACCCACATATCTTATCTTAATTTGTAGAGCATCCAACACCGGCTGTATTAAAAGTATCATGAATTCAGAGGACATGCTCAGACAGTCACCAAAGGTGACAGCCTCTTATCTGAGATGTAGAAACCAACTGCACGCTTATATTTTGCATTTAAAATGGTTTACCCTGAACCAGTGAGCAATACTATTGCATTTCACTTGATGTTTGTAACAGACTGGGAACACAATGTTTTGAGCTTCTACCTCTCATTCAAAGGAACCAGCTTTTGGCAGCAGATTACCTTGCTCGCTTCTGATTGCCTGACCAGTCCCATGACCAAGATTTTCCAAGCGAAGAATGCCACCCATACCCTAGCTCAGATGTGCAGAACTGGGAGCACAACCCATGTGCTATGGAGAACTCCACTACAGTGCACTGGAATTAACTAATCTGAAGACAAACGTGCAAAAACTGCTTATGTCTAAACCAGTGAGACATTAAATTCAAACGTTTGCAATGCAACTGTAACAGCGCACATCTGAAATGAAAAGACCTTACCACATCCTCCTGTGCCAGCTCTAGATGTTAGCAAAAACAGCAGCAGAGTCATTTTATTCTCACTGCTTAATTTCAATTGATACTACAAACAATATTGTTTTTATTCTGGTTATTTTAGTTCATTGTTAATTCACTGGTAGCCGTAATATATCAAGGACGGGTTTAAAAAAATTGGAAAAAGTTTATTAGGCAAGGATAAGAAAATTCCCCCGAATTTCAAAATATGCAAGAACATCCTGTCTTCCCAGGCATGGCAGTTCAAATTCAGATATTCTCAGCTTCATGTTTTACATCGGAGATGACATTTGGATTTCACTGGAATTGCATCAGCGGTAAGTGAACTTGCCACAAAAACCCTTCCCTCAGCTGAGCTGTAGTTACAGTGTCCAAAACATAGTGAGTAAATGGTTATGTCCTTGAGAATGTGTCGTCCTTGGGAATACAATGGCGTTAACACCACCCACACTTGCACTGGGCCCATTCCCACGCTACAGCTCAAGGGAGACACAGGGTCTTTGCCTGAAGGGAATTTCACTGGCCAAGTTAACATTTAAGAGCTAACTTTCTAATGTGAGTCTTACAAACCACAGAGAATTAATCATACTACCCAACCTTATGGGAGGACTGCCAAACCACCATAACTTTCTTTCAAGCATATTTTTATTTCTGTTTGGAGAATAACAGACTACAGAAATCGAAAGTGAACTTTCCTTTGGTCACCAAATACCTGCCTGACTTTATTCCACATGTAATACTTCCAATAGCCTTTATGGAAAAACAGGAGATAATTTTCTCATCAACTTCTGATCTTCAGCAGTTCTTGCCATGCCAGTACCTCAGTACTGCTTGCTCCTCCCTCAGAAACGATTAAAATACCAAAAATGATTAAAATACCAAAGACTACCAAAGACTTCCTAAGCTCTCAGATTGTAGTAGATATATCTGGTTTGGCCCCTACAACTATCAGAAATTCACATGGTGTCCTTAGTAAAATAGTTTTGTGTTGCCCTAAAATCCCATTCAGAAACTCATGATCTGATGGCAGTTTTTAATCAAATTATGCCTTATTGATATTAGCACCCTCTAATACTATGGTAGCTACAGCCTAGTGCGTGTGTCCCTCTTGAAGACGGAGATCTGCAGCCATTCACACCTTCACTGATGAGATGCAGCCTCATGTCCCACTGCTGCAGTCAGAACCCTGTGGGCTAAAGACGACCACCTAGAAAATACTGTAAAAATTATTATCCCTGCTATTCACTGAGGGCAGTAACTGTTAGGGCAGCACAGGGTGCTAGCAGAGCCCACTTTTAGTGAATGCGTGGATACCAGTACCTGCTAAGAGAAGAACACGAGTACAAACTGTGTGTGCACCCACATGCGCCCGGATCAAATACATGTAAGTGGGCATTTGCTCCAAACTGCTTATGTTCACAGAATTGATTTGGTTGGAAGAGACCTCTGGGATCACCGAGTCCACCCTTTGCCCTAACATCACCGTGTCAACTAGACCATGGCACTAAGTGCCATGT